GTCCATTCTCACTGCCCTGACCCCTAAGGAGAGCAGGGCAAGGTCATCTTCACAGGGCCTGGCATCCCCAGAAACCACACACAGCCTCATTCTGGAAAGGCCTGACATGTGGGCTTTGTTTTCCCTCATAGCATCCCTGGGAGGGAGGTGCTGCTGCAGGCCAAGAGGGGAAACTGAGGCATGAGAGGGGGACCAGTGGGCGCGGCACTGATGGTCTGGCCTGGAGCCACTCCAGGGCTCTGCATAGCTCCACCTCCCTCTCTTCTCTTCTGGGAAGACGCTGTGGGTACCCCATTACCAGCCAGGATCCTGAGCAGTATGGTGGTGGCACTAAGGTGCAGGCCTGGCACCAGCCTGGGAGGTGGGCAAGCTTGATAGTCATCCGCACTCCACAGGGAGCCTCGCACAGCCTCCCCGCTCTCCTTGCCCCTTCTGGCCAGGTCACCTGGTGCCAAGGTCTTGCATCACTGAGGACCGGGCTGCAGGGAGCCCTTTGCCCACTAGAGGGCACCATGAGCACAGAAACATGGGCGACCAGTGACCTCCGGGCCACCTGCCAGAAATTGGGTGGGCCACACAGCCTTGTGCTTATCCCTGGTGTCCAAGGTGGCTGGCAGGATGGGGCCACAGGCTCCGCAGCCTGCGCCTCACTCCCACCCCCTGCTGCTAGCAATTGCTGCACCTCTGCTTTCTATAGGATTTACTTCTCTGGGGCACTGGGAATCGAATGCAGGATCTCGCACTTGCCAGGCAGGTGCTGTGCCACTGAGCTGTACCGGGGCCCAACCTCCTGCTTTCCGTGTGTGTTCACAGATGTTTCCACATCTGCAGGAAATAAGTGACACCACCAAGCAGTGGCCCTGATGTTGCCCTCCGACCCTTTTCAGCAGCCACCTGAGGACACCGTTCACACTCTGCTGTCCTTTTGGAGCTGCCTCTGTCGGGTCCCCTGGTGCAGGCGGCTTTGTTTATTTATCTGCACCCAGTTCTCAGACTATGCAGGCCTCTGGGCACCCTTTGGGCACAGTGAAGCTGCCCAGGAAGGGCAGGGCTCTCTCTCCTCATCTATCCCCTATCGATGAGCACTTCCTTAGGGGTCTCACCCTGGGAGCATCTGGAGGATTTGGGGGACAACCTGACACCGCACCCAAGCATGCATGAACTATGCTAGGGATGCATCCATAGCATGTGCTAGGTTTCAGGTTGTTTATTCTTTGGGGACAGGGTCTTGCCGTATAGCTGAGGTGAGGCTGGCCTGGAGCTTCAATCCTCCTGCCGCAGCCTCTCGAGTGCTAGAACACAGGCATGTGCCACCACATCCAGCTCTTGGGTTTCAGGCTTTGAAAGACCATGTGAAAAAGCAAAGAAGTGTGAATCTGGGTGTGGTGGTGCATGTCTGTAATCCCCACACTCTGGGAGGCTGAGGCAGGAAGATGACCAATTCAAGCTTGGCCTGGACAGCTCAGCTGGAATGTATTCCAAAATTTAAAAATTAAAAAATAACTGGGAAGGGCCAGCCAAATAGCTCAGCAGGGGCTGGAGAGATGGCTCAGTGGTCTAAAGCACCTATTTGGAACAAGCTTGGAAAAGCACAGGGACCGCGGTTCGATCCCCCAGCACCACATGCCAGCCAGCCGCGCCCCCTGGTGGGCTGAGCTGGCCACACACACACACACACACACACACACACACACACACACAATAAATAAATGTAAAAATAAATAAATAAATAAAAATCAGTTTAAAAAAAAAAAAACAAATAGCTCAGCAGATTAAAGCACCTGCAAGCAGGCGCAGGGGCCAGGGGTTCAATCCTGGATCCTGCCATGCCAGCCCCACCCCCGGGGCACACTGAGACGGCATTGAGATGGGCATGGTGGTGCATGCCTGTAATCCTAGCTCTTGGGAGGCTGTAAACAGGCGGATCACTACAAGTCTGATCTAGTAGTGAGATCTGAGTACCCTGTAGACCCTTCCCTAAAATACAGAAGTAAACAAACTGGGCATGTAGCTCAGTGCTCACTGGGTTCAATCCCTAGCACATTCACTCATGCATGTATAAATGAATGAATGAGCTGAGAGACATTGGCCCTCATGAGTTTTGGCTCCTTTATGTGCCAGATCAAACCATGCTGCATGCTTGAGGACCCTGGTGACAGGAACCCACCTCCCTCCTGCTGTGCCAGCCAGGGTCTATCTGGAGCAGCAAGAGAAGGGCTGGGGAGCCAGCCCCAGCAGGGAGCACCAGGCAGTAACCCCCACCTCAGGCTCCTTACAAAATGAGGTACAACCCCCGCCCATTAAGGGTTGTTTCTGTCCCCTCTGGCCAACTGCTATAGGCCCAGGAACCTGGGATCAGGCTTCCTGAGTCTGCAGCTGGTGTCTCAGTGTGACCCTGACACGCACAGAACAGCAACAATTCCTAAACCAGGGGTAGCTGTGTGCTGAGCGTGACAGTGGAGGGCACTGGGACATCCCCAGTCACCTTCTCTTCCACACACCACAGGGTGATTAGCCCCTAAGGACAGTGCCCCTGTGCTGGGTGGGAAATCCTGGGGAACCCTGTCCTCAGCTCTCTCCCCTCAGCCCTTGCTTCCCTCTCAGCAGCTACTTCCCACCTTCCCTTCCCCCAAGGCTTCAGCCCTTCCTCAAACCACTTCCTCTGAGTACCCTGTTCTACCCCAGCTCCTTAGCCCTCCTTGCGCTTCTCCTGTTGCACCCTTCCACAATGTGCCCCACACTGCAGGAAGCTTAAGCAGCCCAGAGCAGAACTCCCAGCCCTGAAAGAAACCCAGTGCAGTGCAAAGGATCGTCCCCAAGAGGCCACTGGGAAGATGACAATGTCAGGCATGCACCATGGTTAGAACAGGCTCAGTGTGGTGGCACACACCAGTAATCCTGGTACTTGGGAAGCTGAGGCAGGAGGATCACAGGCTCAAGACCAACCCAAGCTGCAGCATGAAACTGTCCCCTAAAATATAAAATGAAGAGAAGTACTCATGTCAGGGCTTACGGGTCAAGGATATTCACTAACTGGAATCACTACTCTGTGCCTGCTTCGGCTGAGTCCCCATCTGCTCCAAGGGCACACCCTTCAGGGAGCAGGGGACAGGGATACAGCTGGTGTCACATGGTTCCAGGATAGGAGCAGAGCACTGCCAGCTGGGCTTGCTCCTGGTCCCAGTGAGTTCCCAGCTGCCCAGGGTGGTAGCTTTCCAAAGTCGTATCACTGGCTTGCAGCAGGGTACTGAAAGGAACCCGACTCTGCCCAACCACTGCTGCCCATCTACCCTTCCCCACATCCCTTGCAGTGGCCCAGGGCGGTCACACCACAGGTGGTGGAGACACTTTAGCAAGGACACTGCAGTGACGGCCAGGACTAGACGGATGAGGCCCTGAGGCTGTTGGACAGCTCCATAAGGCCACAGAGGGGAAAACAAAGCAAGTTTATCCTCTCAGAAAGTGAAACATAATCCATGATTATAAATATTTCATTGGCCAAGAGAGTGGGGTGGTGGTGGACAGCAAATGAAGTCCCCATCTGCAAAACGATCGGGCAGCGGGCGCAGCAGCCAGGCAGGGCTATTCTGGGCAGTGTGGGGCGAGGCCTGCGTCACAGTCCCGGGCACCTGGCTGCACGGAAACCACAGCCTTCCAGTGGACAGCCCAGAGCACCTTGGGACAAGCCCTCACAGCTTGGGACAAGCACTCTCAGAGTCAGAAAGGACAGGGCTGAGCCTGGGGAGAAGCAAGCCAAGAAGCTGGGACTGCGTAGGTCAAGATGCCCGGGCAGAATGAAGGTCCTCCCTGGGCACTGCCAAGCTGGAAGCAAGTCCCCACCTTTTGCACTGCCTGATCCCGCCTGCCACAGCCCAAGGGGCTGGGGTAGCAGGCAGCAGGCAACTTCAAGCCCTACCTGGCACCATGGCAGGCCAGGCCAGTGAGGGCAGGGGAGCTGGGCACAGACTCCACCAGCCCTTGCCAGAGGTGATGCTCAGAGCACTGGGAGCCACACTAGGGTCCTGAGCAGCAGGGCACTCCTCAGCCAGATCACCCAGGCAGGCGCAGGAGACAGGAGCCCTGGGCCCATCCTGGCTTTCGCCACCATGTGACCCACAGCCCACGGTCCTCCCTCCTCAGCCAATACTCAGTGCAAAGCGCAGCCTGTCCCTCCACTACTACCCACCCCTGCATGAGCCCAGCGTCCTGCTCATGAAACCTATGCAGGGGCTCAAGACTGTGCATGAGGAGCTGCCCCTCTCCCTGCTGTCGTGGCACTGAGGATGGAACCCAGGCCTTGTGCCGAGTGCTCTACCACCCAGCTGCCTCCCCAGCCTTTTCATTTTGAGTCTAACTGAACTTCCTGTCTTGGGCTCAAATTTGCCATCCGTCTCCCAAGTAGCTGGGCTCAAATATGTGCACTGGGCTACAGGGAAATCCTGAACACCCTCCCAGAGGATCGCACGTCACAGGTTCGGTTTTTAAACTATGGTAGTGATGGAACCCTCAGAGGCCTGGCCTCCTGGGTGGTCTTCAGGTCGCTGGGGTCACAGGGTCACACCCTTGAAGAAGGGAACAGCAGACCAGCTCCCCTTTTTACTTCCTGGTGGGAATCTGAGCAGTGTGGCTCCACCTACCTGCCCACCCCAGTGTGCAGCCTCCCCTAGGCGGGGCTCCAGTCTGTTTTCCCAGAGCTGCCGGAGTCATGAGAACAGGAAATGGCTCCACTATGCTACTATGCTGCTTATTCCCCCAGGTACTGTGCAAAGTGCTCAGGAGCACTTAAGCGCACTTAACCTTGCCAGGCATCTTCCAGCAAGGAAACTGAGGCACCTAAGGCCAGATAACGTGGTTTCCCCAGGCCTTGTGGCAGAGCAGAGATTCGCTCCTGGCGGCCTGGCTGCAGAGCTGCTCCTGACCACGCATGACCGCATCTGAGGCAACACCCGAAGTGTGGGAGGTAAAGGGAGTAGACAGGAGCCACCAGATTCCTTTATGGAAACCAACACAGCACCTGGCATCTTGCTTCCCCAAGGAGACCAACAAATAAACAGAGGACAAACTGTCACCCGCAAAGCAGGACCCATCTAAAGCCACGCAGCCTGGCCACGGCGCAGGGTGCTGTCTGGGTGCTTCTGCACCCCACAGGACACGGCCAAGTCATTGCTTTTGGTTTGGAGACACAGTCCCACTAAATTGCTCAATTGCCTAGGCTGGCCTCGAACTCAGCAGTCCTCCTGCCTCAGCCTCCTGAGTGCTGAGATTACAGACATCCATCACTACACAGAGCTCCTCTGATCTTTATAACCACGATACCATGCCTTGAGCTCTCTTAAGTCAGGAACGATGCTACAGATGAGCGAATAAAGTGAAACTCTTTGGGTAAGAAAGTGGCAGACTCTGACGTTTACAGACAACGATTTGCACCCAGTTTCCGAAGCCTGCCAAGCCTGGGTGATCTCACGTGTCAGGCCCCAACAAGAAAAGCAGGTGCTGGCTGTCATCCCTTGGAGCCAGGTATGGTCAGCCTCCTGGTCCCAACTCAGACACACAGGAAGCAACCATGCAGGACAATATTTATTCCCTCAGAGGACACCGTCCCCCACCCTGGAGGGGCACTATCTCCACACAGCCAAGTGCAGGCTGGGAACTGCCCATTCACACGAAGTTCTGAGCAATGGCCAGCACCTTGGAGTACTCGCCCTCCTTCTGGCGCAGGCTCGTGGGCACAGGCACTTTAATCCGAGTCCCCACAGGGTTGCCATTGTCCTCGATGAGGACCACGTTGTTGGAGTCGAACCTGGGGCTCATCCGGGGTCCAGGCATGCGGTGCCCCACGATGAGGGCCTTCTTCTTCTGCCCCTTGATGGCCAGCAGGATCCTGTCACCCACCTTGCCCACCCCGTTCTTGTTGTAGACATGGATGCACCGAGGAGGCCGGTGGTATGGGGTGTTGCCCAAGGCACTGTTGTCCACTACACGTACCCGTGTCAGCTTCTGGATTGCACTGAGGCTGCCGGTGGTGCTGGAGACAGAAAGCAACAATTGGTGGCCAGAGCCACAGTCACAGGCCCAAGAGGGCTGGAGTATATACCACTCCCCTACACACATGCTGAGCTTTTGAAGATTCCTCTACTTGTGCTTTCTCCAAGCCCAGAGCTTCTCCCCTTGTCCCAAGGTCTCAATTTGGACAGTTTTTAAGTCTTGCTTTGTAGTCCACACTGGCCTCAAACTCACTGCACGTCTGGCTCAGCCTCCTGAGTGCTGAGGTTACAGGCATGCTTTACCACAGCTAGATCTTTATTTGCATACATTTTTTATTTTTTTATTTTTAGGGAAGGGTCTACAGGCTGTTCAGGGTCTCACTACTAGATTGGACTCATAGTGATCCATCTGTTTACAGCCTCCCAAGAGCTGGGATTATAGGTATGCACCACCACGCCCAGTCTCAATGTGGTCTCAGCGTGCCACAGGGGTGGGGCTGGCACAGTAGGCCTGGGGATTGAACTTCTGGCCCCTGTGCTTGCTTGCAGGCACTTTAATCCACTAAGCTGTTTGGCCGGCCCTGGATATATTTTTAAGAGCACCCAAGTTTTCTATTGCATCTTCCCTGTATCTTAATCTAAAACCTTTGAAGAAGGGCAGGCAAGATAGCTCAGCAGACTAAACACCTACTTTAACAAGTACAGTGACCCAGGTTCCATGTGGCACATGCCTATAATTCCAGCACTGGGGAGGCTGAAAAAACAGGAGAGTCATGAGTCCAAGCTGCAAGGTAAGACCCTCTACCAAATACATAAATGAGAAAATAAAATAAAAAATGCACCCAACTGGAGAAAAGTTAAGAAACCAGTCATGGTGGTGTCTGTCTGTATCCCAGTGCTCTGACAGGTGGGGACAGGAAGGTCGCTGCAAGTTCCAGCCCAGATGGGTCAACTTAGACAAGTATTGTTGCAATAATTAAAAAAAAAAGTTGGGGGCTGGGGAGATGGCTCAGTGGAATAAGCGCTTCCCTGGCAAGCACAAGGGCCTGAGTTCAATCCCTAGTTCCACCAAAAAAAAAAAAAAGTTGAAGAGTTTTTTGCAGAGCACCTATTAAAGGTAGGTATAATATTACCAATGTGGTCACTGAGGGCTCCAAAACGACTCTGAGTTCTCAGTGACCAGGGCTGCTCTCCTGTCCCTGTGCCGCCACCACACACGGGCAGAGCCCACGCTCAAGTCCACACTTCTCCCATACGCTACCTAGTGCTCTGCTGAGTCCCTCCAGCACAGGCAGACACATTGCCCAAGGGCTCGCAGGCCGAGTGCCCTCCTGCAGCGCAGCTACTCCAGGGACTCCAGCTCCCCCCACAACCCTTGTGCTGACACCCACAGGCACCTCGCCCTGGCCTCTCTCCTTCCTCTGCACCCAACACCTGCCTTCTTCAGCAGCTTGCTCACTACACTTGGACACACGTGTCCTCCAGGCCCTGGCACTGCGTCCTGTAGAGATGAGCCCTCAAGGACCTAAAGCAAAGCCACCCCTGCTTACAGCTGTCTGTGGCTCATCCAGACATGCCTGCTCCCTGCACCCATGAATGGCCCCTGCACCTGGAGCAGTGGGGATTCCAGGTCCTCAGGGTTCACCCCCATGCCCCAGGGACCTGACCTACATCTACCTCTCTTTCTCCCCCTCCTCCATCAGCAGATCCTACCGCAGGCCTTCTGAAGTGACCACATTGGTCCCATCTTCTTGGTCATCTGTGTCTAAGTCCCTCCCTGCAGCCTCTGGAAGCCTTCATTCAGAAAGCAACTCCGTGCCAAGCAGGAGGCCAGCGAGCACCCACAGCGTGGGCACCTGCGCTGGGCCTTCCTATTCAGTCACCAGGGCCCACGGCACCTGATCACCCTCCGAAGGAGGAAGGGGCTGTGCTTCCACCACGCTTGCATGTTTGGTAACAAGCTTGTACAGTTTTTGTAACTAAAAGAAATTTTCATCCTTAAAAGAAAAGGTTTTGATGCTGGGGAATGCAGCATTGAGAGAGGTCAGATCCACAGGGTTGGGTCCTGTAGGGGCTGAAAAGCGGTAGCAACCACCCCTGCCGTACCCTATACTGTGCCCACCGCAAGCCACCCAGAACTGTCACCTCCTTACCTCCTCCACACCCTGACCAAAGCCCAGCTCAGCCCCATGGCTTCAGCTTCCCCAATCCAGGACCCCCCTCAAGGTTCCACCTCCTCTTGTCACCCTGTTTTGTGGTCCTGCTGGGGAGTCTTAAGTTACCTGAAAGCACACATGCCGAGTGCTCTGCTAACATGGGCCAAGGGGCCCCAGAGCGCAGGAGAGGCAGCCATGAGATCCCACCGGTGAGTCCTGCTGGGAGAAGAAGGAAAGATGGCTAAGCCACAGTCCTGGGGAGCCAGGCTGCTTTGGGGATGTATGTGGGAGATGGCACTTCTAGGACAAGATCATTATCACTAAATACAAATGATTACAAGAGAGGATGAGCCCCTGCTCCTGCCCAACTGCTGAGTCATGGTCTGACCTGGGTCAGGACAGACTGGACCTCAGAGCTACTCCAAGTAGAAATGACAGCCACCACTGCACCCCTCCACAGGCACCCCCTGCTATGACAACTCCCCAATAACCCTAAGAGACTACAGGCTCCCCACAGACATCGTGGGCTTTCTAGAGTCAGCACTTCAACCTCTAAGGGGCATGACCTAAGCACTGCCAGCCACCTCATCTTTCCCCCAAATGCAGAGCCAAAACACCTGCCTGGCTCAAGGTCAGCCAAGGTGAGCCCACCGTGGCCCTTGCCAAGTCACTAGCCAAAGTCTATATCTGGGTCTGTGTCCCAAAAACCACCAGACCACAGAAAAGCTGCCCATGCCCTCTGGTGGCTGGAAACAGGCTTTGGGAACCAAGTGCCACATTAACTCAAGATGTGCGATGCCAGCTTAGAGGACACAGATGGCACCAAGACCTGCGACACCTGAGGCATCACCTGCAGCCTCGTTAGCAAAAGCCTCCAGATCTAGGAGTGGTACAGCACATCTGTAAGCCCAGCACTCAGGAGGCTGAGGCAGGAGGATTCAAGGCTACATTGGACTACCCAGTGAGACCGTCTCAAAAAAGAAAAAGCAAAGAAAGAAAACCTCCCACAACAAAACATAGCTGTCCCTCCCCTCAATGTCTGTCTGCAGCAGGCCTCTAAGCCAAGCCTCTAACCCGAGTGTTTACACACAGCTTTGCCCTGCACAAGTTCAAGGCTCTCAGATAAAACTTTATTTAATGAAGGTGGAGGGACCCACTGTTTACCTCCTCAGGAAAAGCCAGACATTCCATACACATGAAGTAACCCCAGGTCGGCCCCAACTCCAGGCCTGCTCCCAGTCTCCCCAAGACAGCCCATGAAGCACAGGCCAAATGTAATTACTTAAAAACTTATGTACAAAAGGCCATTAACCTATAAAATCTCTAGCACCTAACACACAGGAGCAGATGACCAGAGGTGGCCAGCTCCACTTACAGCCAGAAGACCTGGGTGGCACAACGAATGCGCCCAGCTCCCATTTCACCAAGACACTGGCAAGACCTGCCCACAGGTGGCCAGGACGGCCAGCGAGGGTCAGGCGCAGAGCATCTGCCTGACTGCAGCATCAGCATCCCAACCTAAAGCCAGGCCTCCTTTCCATGCCCTGCTCACAGCCCCTACCAGGTGGGTCTCCCCCCACACCAGCCCACCTCCCCTAGAAGCCAGTGCTGAACTGCAGCCTCACCACTGCCCTCCTACACACGAGGAATCACCACACACAGGCTGGTGCAGCCCTTACCACCAAGATGCAGGCGTTGAATGAGAGATTTTTTGAGGTAAGGCCAATGTCCTCTGCATCCCATTCCTTGCTGCTTCCTCTCCAGAACTCAGAAAGCACAGCAGAGCTCACACATGGCACCCGATCTAGCTGCAGAGCACAGGCCACATGCACCAGGCCATGTGCGCCGGGTGGCACCCTAGCCTCAAACACAAGAATGACACAGGCATGCCTGCAGGGAGCACACCCACTGTCAGAAGAAAAGGCTAATTCAGTGATCTTCACTAGTTCTTAATAGGTTTGATATTGACCCCAGTCCATACATTACTAACCATTTCTATTGCTTATTCCAAAAAAAAAACAAAAACCCCTCCAAAACCATAAAACCATCTTTTGCTCCCTCCACCTCTATCATGACAGATCCTGATTAAACAGAGTGCAATAAATATTTGTTAGCCAAATCAATGAGGCAAGCTGGGTATGGTGGTACACGCCTGTAATCCCAGCACCCAGAAGGCTAAGGCAGGAAGACCAAAAGTGCCAGCCCAGTCAGGACTACACAGCAAAAGTTCAAGGCCAGCCTGGACTATACAATGAGACCCTGTCTCAAAAACAAAACAAATAGGGCTGGGGAGATGGCTCAGTAGAATAAGCGCTTCCCTGGCAAGTGCAAGGGTCTGAGTTCAATCCCCGGTTCCAAATAAATAAATAAATAAATAAATAAATAAATGTAAAAATAACAAGTGAGGTAGCCAACAGGAAGAAAGGCCCCCACCTTGACCATGGCTACAGGCACCAGCAACCCAAGGTAGGGGCCCTGCCTACATGGTGGGACCCAGGACCTCACAGGCCCTGGGCTTTGAGATGCCAGTGATCAGAGGAGCAGCCACGGTGTCACCTGCAGGCCCCTGGAATCATCTTCCAGCCTGGTGTCCACACTGCCTGCCATGGAAAAGCACCCCTTCCCACCACTAAGGAGAGGCTCTGTCAGGAAGAAGAGGGGCAGTGAACCTCTTCGGAGTGACTCTGGTGGCCCCTTGGGTTACTTCACGGTATAGACAGATTCACCTTGCAGATATAGGGTGCAGTCCACGTCACACCCGGTGAAACGATGCTGCTGCTTCTTTCTTTACTGTCTCCTGCTTCCTGTCAGCACCCTCCCTACTCAGGAAGTGAATCACAACCTCTCCCTTAAGGGTCTGCGCACAATGATTTGATGCTTATGTCACACCTTTGCTAACACTACCCCTGCTTTCAGCTGTGGGGGCCAGGGATGGCTAGGCTATCAGGGACACACAGCGCCCTTCACTTGGCTCAGCCTCCACAGGCACTGCTAGAATGATGGCTCTGTGGGGGCAGGCACTGCAGTGTCCGGCTCAGTGCCACCCCCTCTGGGCCCAGAACAGTAGGTACACACATCTAGAGCTAGGGGACCATGCCAGAAGTGATTTGCAATTCAACCTCTGAGTTTCCATGTGGTGTGGATGGGGTGTTCCCAAGGACCACGGGAGCCGGGTTTTATCTCATTTCATATACTGGGTCTGAACTAGAAAAGCAGACAGAAGGTACTTCTGATGCTGTGGAAAGATAGCACACACATATCACTACTGGAGTTCTGAAGATCATGACAAAGTATATCTGTGAATGTACCGATCCAGGGAGGTGCCTATACCTGTAAGCTGTATCTATTCGTGTACTATACTTAATATCACAGACCAATCTATACATTGTTTCCATCCAAACAGTTTCAGTCTTCAGTTGCCTGGTACGTTGCAAGCATTTGAAGTCCTTTCCAGGGAACAGGCTCCTACGGGCTCTACAGAAGTGAGGAAGCAGAGCAGTGGGTGACGGGGCATTTGGGTGGCAGCGCACGTGCTAAGCATGTGTGAGGCCTTAAAAAAAAGGTTCAGCACATCACAAATGAGTGCTTAAAAGAGATTCTGTTAGTAAGAGAAAAAAAAGCTAAGAAATCAAATGCAAAGCCCAGTCAGAAAAAAGACAAACCGCTAGTGTGAGCCTCTAAAGGTCTTTCATCAAAGCAGGGAAAGCTGGGGGAGGAGGGCTTGCAGGACTCTACACTCACCCCATCCCAGAGCCCCAGGGTTCTGCTCACCCTGGCCCCTTAAGTGCTTCTATGCGTTGACTGAAAATTCATCACTGTTTTGCCACCCCACATTTCCCTTTCAGAATTTACTACCTTTTTGTTTTGTTTTTAAAGACAGGGTCTCTCTCACTATATTCCTCAGTGACCTTGAGCTCACTCTGTAGTCCAGGCTGGCCTAGAACTCACAGCCACGGGCCTCTAAAATCTGGGGATTACAGACAAGCAGCCACCACACCCGGCTACTATGTGTCTGTTCAGCCTCACACAAATACACCATGTTGCAATTCTCAAAGCATCCTCATCCAGGTCTTTTTCTTTTGTGATTGCATTTCTGAGTATCCAATGGAAACAAAGAAACAAGAAACAAAAGCCCAAGAGGTTGCAGTCAGCAGAGTTCTGAGGTCTCAGGGAGGAGGTGCCATTCTGAAGACGGTGAGCAAAGTCAGAGAAGCTCAACACCTGCACACTCATCCTGGCTTAGCAGGCAGCGCGGCCCAGAGCCCAGCACTGTTTCAGCCCTGCCCTGCACAGGACGGGCACCAGACACCACACAAGGCTGCTTCCACCACCAACGAACTCCACCAAGGCAAGCACACTATGCACAGGGCTAGCTCCTTGGCTGGCGCTGCCATCGTGAGCAGCTGCCTCTTCAGTAAATATCGATGCTACCCTGACTTGCTGATCAAAGTTGGAGTTTTCATGCTATCACTACCAGGAAGCCAAGCCAAGCCTGGCACTGTGGTACACACCTGCAATGCCAGCACCAGGAAGGCGGAGGCAGAGGGAGTGAGTTCGAGGCCAGTCTGAGCTGCATATCAAGTTCAGAGCTCGCTGTGGCTACACAGCAAAATCTTGTCTCAAAAAATAAACAGATAACAGGATGTTGTGGTGCATGTTGGTAATCCCAGCACTCCGGGAGGCTGAGGCAAGAGAATCACAAGCCCAGGCAACTTACTTGGTGAGACCATATCTCAAAAACAAACAAACAAATAAATAAATAATAAATTAATTAATAGGGATATAGTTCAGTGCAAAGGCCTTGGGAACAATATCCAGGACCACAAAATAAATAATATTTAATTAAAAAAACACATAAGCATTTCTCAATAGCTTAAAAGGCTATTTGTACCACAACTACCAATAAAACCCCATTTCATTTAAAAAAAAAAAAAAAGTCATCTTGTATTTGCATGGCGTGTTGGTTAGATCTGACATTTCTCAATTATTTGAGCTGGTCTTTTAAGGTATAGATTTTATATATTCCAGCTTTAATCTCACAGCAGTGGGAAAGGGACATCTATAGTCCAGGAGCAAGTTTGGAATGTTGGAGTTCAAAAAAGCTGCAGGTTCTTTTACCTTGTTTGCCCACAGAGTGAAAATGAAAATGGTATCAATCCTATTTTTTGTGATTAATTACTTCACAGAGTTCAGCATGTAACCAAACACATTGTGGGCTTATAATGTGTGAACTACTGTTAATATAGAGAATATCAAAATAAACATATGGCAGATAAAAAAATAAAAAAAAAAGCTACAGGAGGTAGAGTTGGGTCTACTCAATCCTGTACATCTCCTATCTCTCCTGCCCGTCACTACCTACACCAAGCCAGATGTGCAGAAGAAGGAAAGAGAAAACAGGAGAATGGGGAACATGACCCCTGTCCCGCCTCTCCTCCTCTTCCTCAAAGTCTGGGACCATGAGATCCCTCATCCAGGTCTCTGTGACTCTGCCAAGCAAGGGTTCCTGGAAAGAGCAATTAAAAGAGCCACATGGAAACAAAAGTGCTTTGTCTCTACCCAGGCAAGGGACACTGCAACTAAAGTGCCAATACTACAATTAAACCTGAATAGTGAGGTTTTAGTTTAGAAAAAACAGCTCCTATCTTAACATCATTATTTTTTTTTCTGGTACCAGGGATCAAACTTAGGACCTTGTGCTTGCCAGGCAGACACTTATGGCACTGAGGCTACCTCCCTGGCCCAACAGCTTTTATTTTAAAACAAAAACACAACACACGTGTCACAGGTTCACCACCACTGTAAGCTGGAATCATCTCGTAGGGCTAGGTCTACAGGACAAGTGCTCTGCCTCCCTGATCCTGGGCAGCTCAAGGGCAAAACTATCATCACATCTCACTCTAGAGTGGACCCAGAAAAGTGCTACTTCTCCCCACTAAAGATGAGAATGAAGTTCCAAAATCTTCACTAGGCGACTTTCCTACTCTTTCCTGCAGATCCCTAGTGAATGACAAGCTACTTGCATCCAGCACATCACCTAACCCAGGATAACCCACAGAAACCTGGGCTGTCACCATTAACATGCCTGTCAGATCACACTGGGGCGAGCCACAATGTACAAGCCGTTGCCTACAAGATAGAAGGCTAAACCTTGCTCTCATTTGTTTTCCTAGTACTACAAAATGAACGCACAGCTTCTTACTAACCTACATGCTTAGCCCTTTCCTTTAAAATTTTGAGACAGGGTCTTGCTATGTTGCTGAACTGCTATGCCTGTGTGCAAACTTGCTGTTCTCGTGCTTTGGCCTCCCAGAGAGCAGAGACTGCAGGTGTACATGACGGCGCTCAACTCATAATCTGGATTTTTAGACTTTCTCAAGCCCCCAGAGTTACCCCAGTGACACAAACAGGAAAAAGCACTGCAGATGGGTCCAGATGCCACAATCACAAAGAGAGAATGAAGCAAAATAGACTTAAAAGACAGTCACATCATCTAGGATTCTAGGAGCCTAGGAGAGTCTAAATTACCACGGTCAGGGCCCAGAAGACTCCAATCTGAGTAACAGACTGCAGGGGCAGAATCTACCCTTGACAAATAGGGGCAACAATAAAATATTTTGGATCAGGCTTGGTAGCCCAGGCCTGTAGTCCCAGCCCATGGTGGGCTGAAGCAGGAGGATCAGGAATTTGAGCCACAGTGCATCCCAGGCCAGAGTAAGGCTTTATCTCAAAAATAAATATTGTGGCAACTATTCCTTTATGGACTTCACCACGCCCCTAATTCAACTTTCTGGCTTGCTGAAGTTGAAGTGTTTCTCTTGCTGTCGGCAGACTGCCACACACTCCCCTGCCTCGCGCTCCTGGAGAATGCAGTTCAGAGGTGTTGATTCTAATTAGGCACAGGTAGAAATAGCTCAAGAATCCCTACGTGCAGATCCATAACTACATTATTTTTTTTTAAATAACATTTAAGAAATATCTTCCAGTGATGTTCGGAAGCCCCAAACCAGTAACTATGCCCTCTATTTCCATTTTTCAGTTACCCCTACAATTAAACCTGAATAGTGAGGTTTTAGTTTAGAAAAAACAATTCATACATTAACATTTTTTTTTTTTTTTTTGTACCCGTGATCAAACTCAGGACCTTGAGCTCAAAGTGAATTTTACTGTTCTATGCAAGCAACAGATCAAACTAATTTTACAAGCATTAAACCACACACTACGTAAAAAAGGTACACACACTATATGTGTATATATATATATATATATATATATATATGTAAAATAGGCAATTGTTTAAAAAAAATTACAAATCCCTTAAATTTCTGGTTCCTTCCCAAAACATCTCCCAGACCCCAAGCTTACAGACTTCTGCATGCAGGCAGTCTACAAAGCCAGCTTCATTTCATTTTTTTCTGTCACAGCTGAAAAACAAAACAAAGAAACCCAGTTCTTTCTAGAAAGCCAATCTACCTCTTACCCCCAACAAAATTCTGTTTATTTCATCCAAGGCCTGGTGGCACATACTTGTAATATTGGCATTCTAAGACGCTGGAGGAGGGTCGCAAATTTAAAACCTGCTTGGGCAACTTAGCTCAAATCCCTGTTTCAAAATTAAAAAATAAAGGGGTCTGGGATATAGCTCAGTGTGGATGCCCTGGGTCAATCCTCAGTATTGAAAACAAATTAACATCTTTCTTCTTAGGCAGTAACCTTCCTGAAGATAGAGACTCCGTGTTCTTTCCTATACATCCCTGGGTACTAACCACATCCTTCTGTACATGAACTGACTGGAAACTCAGCCTGAGGAGCAAGAAGGCCAACAGGAGGATTCAGGTAATCAATACTTTCCAAACTTTTCTGTGATACACAGAGAAACTACACCAATGAACACCTAAGACACACACAGGAGTGGCCACGAATTCTACACCTAACACACTCATACCTGAGGCAGTGTCAAGAAACAATGCTCTTGGGGCTGGAGAGATGGCTCAGTGGTCTAAAGCACCTACTTGGAACAAGCTTGGCAAAGCACAGGGACCGCGGTTCGATCCCCCAGCACCACATGCCAGCCCGCCCCGCCCCCTGGTGGGCTGAGCTGGCCACACACATACACACACATACACACACTAAACAAAAATGTAATAAATAAATAATTTAAAAAAACAAAAAGAAACAATGCTCTTGCTAACCAAAGCATTCTCTAATAGCTTCTATTTCTATTTTTTTATTTTTAAAAAGTACAAATTAGAATTAAAACAAAAAATTACAAGTGATACAAAATTTCACTTAAAAAAGTAATATGAATTTCACAGTATTCGTTTTAAGACAGTGTTGTCTTCCAACCAATTATTCATAGTACCAGATATATGCAAGTGAAATTGGAAGAAAAAAAGAAACGTAGGGCTGGCCAAATAGCTCAGCGGATTAAAGCACCTGCAAGCAGGCGCAGGGGCCAAAGGTTTGATCCCCAGGCCTGCCATGCAAGCCCTGTCTCCAAGGTACGCGGAGACACAATTCAGACTGGGCATGGTGGCGCATGCCTGTAATCCCAGCTCTTGGGAGGCCGTAAACAGGCGGATCACTATCAGTCCGATCTAGTAGTGAGACCCTGAACACCCTGTAGGCCCTTGCCTAAAATACAGAAGAAGAAGAAAAAAAGAAATGTATAAGAATTTAAGAGAAAAAGTACAAATAATTGAAAAAAGGAGACGAAATGAATTAAAGCATTAACTGCTTCTTTCACAGACCAGCAGAAATGCACAGTAGTTGTCCAAACCATCCTGCTTACACACATAGATAAATCTCTTTCTCCCACTCCCTTTCCTGTCCTCAATTCTGTAACTCTTTCCTTTTGAGTAAGTTCATTTCCTTTTCCCAATATCTACTGCATCGTGCAGATTCAATTTTTCTTTTTCAGGTTCTCACACTAAGGAGACAATATGATGTGTGCATATGCGGGTCTGATTTATTTCACTTAAGAGTATGTTCTCCAGTTGCATTTTAAACTATGGCCGGATCTTCTACACTGACCTCCAACTCACCGATGGAACTCACAGCTTGAAAAACAGTGTAGTAAATTAAACCTTACTGTTGCATTCCACAAGTTCCTAATGAACTCTGAAAAGCCAGTCGATCACAGAATCGGTGACAGAGACGTTGGGCAGCATCCTTCTGTCCAGTCTCTGCGGCCCTGGTTCAAGCTCCTCCCATACATCTCTCGAGAAACCCAAGGTGGGTCCAGGCCCCTGCCCTTTCAACATCTCAGGGTGGCAAAGGCAAAGATGCCCTGTGCCCACTGTGGAAAGTCATACTCTCTTTGTGTCCCCTTCAGGAACCCGAAATTAAACAAACTGGCGCGCTCCTCGTGCCTCAGTGACAAGATTCGAGCCTACCTGTCCCACCTCCATCTTTCTAGACTTAATCACTGCTGGGCGCAGCCTCTGATGAAATCAGAAACCAGGGACGCTCTGGAGTCACCTCAGAGTCACAGCGCGATCGGCTGCAAAGGGAGGGAGGTGCGGGTCACTGAACGCGAGGTGACGTCCAGGCTGCCCCGCTCCTACAAGACACACTAAGTAAGCGCACCGGGGTGCACAAGCTCGGGAGCCCGCACCTTAGGGCCCAGGGGAGGGGCTCACGGTTAGGCCTCGCTCGCCGCCGGGCTACCCTGAACCTTCAGCTGTAAAGGCCTCACTACCGCTCACCCAGGTGCAGGGAGTAAACAAAAGATGAGAAGTAGGTCCCCGAGGCTCCCCATGCCCCGCTCCCCGGGCCCCATAATCGCCCCATACCACTTCGCTGCTGCCGCGAACCCGCCAGGGGCCGCCACACCACGCGGCCTCCGCGCATGCGTCACGGCCGTGCGTCGCATGCGTGCGCTGCGTGAGGGGCGGGGCCCGGCACCGCCCCGCCCTCCCCTCCCCCAACGCCGCGGCCGCCGCAGGAGCCTTGCTGCCGACCCCGCGCCCCGCGCCCGGGGCCGTGAGCCCGAGCCGAGCTGCGCCGGGTGAGTCCGCGCCCCACCCGGGACCCCGGACCCCGCCTGCAGTCGTCCCCTCCCTACATCCACCTCGGAATCTGCACCGCCCCGGCTCCGTCGGGGTCCGCTCGGCGCCGCCCCGAAACCCCCGGTGGGACCCGCCTGCTTGCGCCCCCGCCCTGGGCCCGCGCCGCGCCCAGAGTGCGGATCCGAGGTCCCCGCGTCCCGGCTCAGCCCTGGTGGCTGTACTGGCCCAGGCTGCCGCTGTCCCCGCTCCTGTGGAGCGCGCGTTCTGTCCCGGGGCCGCACCGCGCGCCCTGTTCTGGAGCGGGTACCGGGGATTGGGGGACCAGGGGCCCTCAAGCGGGCAGAGGCCCCGAACGAGGGGTACCTTTGCCCTTCCTGCTGCGCGGGCCGCTCAGGCCGCTGTCCCAAAGCTGTCGTCTGCTCCCCAGGAAGGGAAGAACGCCAGGGCAGTGGGGGAAGAGGTCAGAGGGGCGCTGCCCTTGCAGCTCTGCTGCCACCAGCCCGGGTCGTGGTACAGAGGTCTGCACCCACTGCCCCGAGGGCTCTCCGGGATCGGGGCTGTGCTGGACCCGAGTAGGGGCCCAGGGTTCTGCCTCCCAGGCATAGGGAGGGGGCGGGGATGTGCTGCAGCGCGACCGTCCTCCAGGGCACCCGAGGGTCCAGGCCCTGGCATGCCCCGGAGTGGCACCTGCTGGGGCCTGCAGTAGCTTCTCCCCGTGCAGTTTGCCAGTGTATGGGTGGGTAGGTGGGTAGGAATGTTGCTGGCAAAAGTAGCTAAGTTCCGTTTGCATACCTTTCGAGATCCCTCCAACTATGAGAGAGTGATACAGACCTGGGTTCGAGTCCTACCTATGTCATTCATTATCAATGTGACCTTGACCAGTCACTTAACCTGTCTGAACCTCTGTTGCAGTTTAAAAGTATGGTTATGAGTGGGGTGCAGTGACTCATTTTTGTAATCCCACCACTCAGGAGGCTGAAGCAGGAATATCAGAAGTTCAAAGCGAGAATTGGGCTACCTGGCCAGACCCTGTCTCAAAGAAAACAATAGTGTGGTTACTACCACAAGGTTTGTCTTGGGGGGTCAAACAAAATAACACAGGTAGAGACTGGCACCCTACCTGGTCATGGATTGACTCTGGGTTCTCTCTGACCCATCCTGGCATAGCATCACCTCTGTTCACCTCCCAGCCCAGTGCAGGTGGATTGGGCATGTTCAGAGGGCTTGGGGACATCCCCTGCTGCTCATTGTCAAATTCTCTTAACACAGGGTAAGCCCACAGGTCCAAACAGAAAGCCGTCCTGCCTGGCTGACCTGTTTTGTTGTATTTCTATCAAGTTTTAGGTTCTCTTCTTCTCTGTGTCTCTGTGACTGTCTAGCAATACTGGGGCTTAAACCCAGGGGTGCCCTACCGCAGAGCCACATCCCCAGCTTCTATCTTTCTTTCTTTCTAGACAGAATCTTGCTACATTGCCCAGGTTGAGTGAAAACTTGCGGTCTTCCTATGTTAGCTTTTGAGTGGCTGGGATTATAGGTGTGCACCACAATGCATGGTTAAATTCTATGTTGTTGTGGGGTTTTTTTTTTATTTGATTTTTACTGATTTTTCTCCTCTATACCTGTTGTATTCCAATCTCATTAATAACAGCTATTTTTAGAGCCTGTTATTTTCCTTCAACTATGTGAAGAGCTGTGCATGACTCTTCTTAATTCTTTAAACAAGGACCCAATTGGATTGTTGCCCCCATTTCACAGATGAAGGAGTTGAGGCCCACGGTGTTTAGGTAATTTACTAGGGTAGAGGCCAGGTCTGGCTATCCTGGAGCCACCAGACTGTGCCTGCCCTCCTTCAGGGGCTTGAGATCACAACCCAAGCAGGAGTATAGGTAGGTGCAGAGAAATAGGCTGCAGCCACAGGTAGACTCAGCAAATGCAGTGGTTAACACTCAGCCTGTCCCTGAACCTACCACAAACTGGCTTTGTGACCTTGGGCACATTGTGTAGCCTCTCTGTACCTCAGGGTCTTCCTGAGGTTGGTTTGTTTATTTGTTTGTTTTTGTACTGGGAATCGAACTCAGGACCTTGCACTCACCAGGAAGGTGCTATTCCGCCAAGCTATATCTCCAGCCCTCCTCAGGTTGTAAGGAAAAGCAGATGAGTTATATTTGCAGAGGTCTTAAAACAGAACCTGGTGCAAAGTATTTGATAAATGCCTTTTTAAAAACTTGAGTCTTGGACCTAGAGATTGCGGAGTTTCAGCTTTATTTACTCATTTGAATACTTACGGTTGTGGTACTCAGGTCTTCACACTGAGCTTTGTCCCCACCCCTTTTATATTTTGAGACAGGATCTCCCTAATTTGCCCAGACTGAGCTCCAACTTGCAGTCTTCCTGCCTCGTGCTCCAGAGTAGCAAGGATCATAAACGTGAGTCACCACGCCCTGCTAAATGCTTTCTTCTAATGCTACTTATCCTCATGCGTGAATACTTTTTTTTGCCTCGCCACCTGAAATCGGTGGGGTGTAGGGGTGAGGATGTTAGCGTCTTTGTTACACAGTGGGAGACTGAGGCCTCTGTAACATGGAAGCAGATGTCCGTGTCTCCACCTGCCTCCCTGGGAGCCCAAGCCCTCCGTTACACTCTAGTGTCGGGTGGGAAAATCACAGTGTGGCCAGACATCTGATCCTGCCTCTCTAACACAACTGCGCACATCTAGCCAGAGCCTCCGTCTCACACAGGAGAAACTGGCACACGGCTGGGTTTGGTGTGTCTGGGAGAACTGCCCCAGCCCCCAGTATTCTGCCCCAGGCTGGCCCTCTGTGCCCACAGCCCTGCCCTGGCTTTGAGAGCTGCTACTAATGTTGAAATCCACTGGCAACACCAACCCCGCCTGCACAATTAAGAGCTTGAAGTATCCTCATCAACCGGCTGGGCTACCCAGACTCCACCCCTTCTCTGCCCTTTGACCTTGTGTGACTTCCCTCCCTGGGCCTTGCTTCCTGCCCTGAAAAATGGGGACAGTCATCTGAGGGGCCTCATTCTGTGCAGGTAGAGCAGGGCAGTTTTGGAGGGGACAGTGAAGAGATCACGGCAGAGGGACTTCGTGGTCCCAGGTGCTGAGTACTTAGCTGGGTGATCCCCTGCCCTGAATCCCTGAGTGCAGAGGCACCCAGAAAGCTCCTCTCTGGAGTAGGAAAATAGTGGGGGGAGGGGGGATCTTGGTTCTGGGAGAGAAATACAGCCAGGAGTGGAAATGAGTCTTGTGGCTCCCAGCGTGCGCTCAAGTTGGACTTGAGCAGTGGGACTTAATTAGTGCTCCCCACACCACCCAGAACGCACACAGGTACCTTTAACCTGCTCTGGGGCCTGGGATCTGTGCCTGGTGTTTACCTGCCCAGCTCCCAGACACGCCTACATCCACACCTGCACTCTGAGGCCAGCAAATCCCTCAGTTTCGTGGATGCTGCATTCACTTCGCTCCTGCGCGCGCGTGCACACACACGTCTACACATCTAGGCACGTTCCCACCACACCTGTGTGTTCTGCGGCCGGAAAATATTTAAGGGGTGTTTTATTTTTGAAGATCTCCTCAGTCTTCAGGGCATTGTTCTGGGCACAACTGAAAAGCATAGTGGCTCTATAATAGTCCAGCTTTATAGAGATGCTGACCTAGGTTTGGAGCCCATTGTAAATTTTATTTAAATTTTATTTACAGTGAGGCCTTGGGACAATACTGAAGCTTTCTAAGCTCTGTGGCCTCATCTTAAAATGATAATGGCACTCACAGGATTGTCAAGGATTTAATGCAATCAGGTACATATTCTTGAAATGCTCAATAAATGGTGCCTGCCACAGTTACTAAATTAGGATGTTTTGAAAGTCAATTTGGGCGAGAGAAGGGAGAGGCATCAATGAGAGGCAGTTACTCCGTTCTCTTCCCAGCTTGCTGCACAGACTGCCTGGGAGCCCCAGAACTGGTGGGTGGGTCACAGAAATCCTGAGTCATCTGGGGAGGGTTGTGAGGGATACTCGCATGTCCAAAGTTGCCATCACCTTCACCACCAGCTTGTTGTTCTCTTTGTCTACTTTCTTTTCTTCCCTTGGGACCCCCTCCTCCTGAAGAGCTGCAGAGTTGTGAGCAGAAGGGGCCCCCAGGGCCCCCCAGTAGGAGGAGGTGGGGCAGCACTGACACCACCTCCACCAGGCTGGAGCCCCACTGTCCCTCCCCTACCTGGGAACATCTCCAGAGTCCACTCAGTTCCATCCCATAGCACCCCAGAACCCCATTTCTCCTCCCACTCACTCAGCTGCCCTGAGTTTAGGGGGCCTGTGGCCAGGGCTTGGGTGGGCTGAGGCCACCAGCTATTCTCCCTTCCTTTGCCAATGAAGTATCTTTCCAGGGGGCATAGAGTTCCCAGCCTGCCGAGCTCCAGAGACAGGAGCAGAGCATTCTGGGAGTTGTAGTCTTCCCTGTGGTGACCATGAGCCTTTGGGAAAGAGGAAAAGAAAGAGCTGGAGGGAAAACAGGAGTAAGAGACACTCACACTACAGCAGGGGCACAGGGCCTGGGCCAGCATCAGGTAGTACAGTCCAGGCAATTGTGCTTTACACCTGGCTTCTCACTCTGACCCCTACTCTGAGGACCCTGAAGCTGAAAATTTGGTTTTGTTTTTCTTGGTGTTTTTTTTTCTTTATTTTTATTTTATTGAGAAATATCACTGAGACAGTTTCCAAGCTGATTAATAGGACATTTTCAGTAATTAATACATTGTGCATTGTTATCTTCTCAGCGGTCATCCACAGCACAAGAAGCAGCCAGGACATCCTGTCCAAACACTATTACTACAAATCC